CTGGGTGGTGTGGCTGGTCCAGGTGTAGCTGGCTCAGGTGTGGCCCCGGGTGGTATGGCTGGTCCAGGCGTGGCCTTGGACTGGAGTGGTGTGGTTGGCAGAGGGGTGGTGGATAGAGGTGGCAGATTCTTGGCCGCGGGCTTGGAGAATTTGCCGTTATCAGCCCTGTTTTCAAAGATTCTTACCCCTTCTAGCTGAGGTTTGGGAGGCAGAGACCCTCTGCTGGGCTTGGCTTCCTTCTCTGCTGACGAGGAAAGCTGGGCCTCCAACTTATTCCGGATCTGCCGGATGCTAGGAGTTGGCGAGTCTTGGGGGATGTAGTCCAAAGGAGGGAGGGTCAGGCTGGTGGCAGCCTTCCTCTCTGGCTGGCTGCAAGGACTCTCCTCAGGAACACTTGGGGGCGCCTCCTTCTCTGGCAGGCTGGGGCCCTTCTGGCTCTCCTTTCCCTGAGAGGATGCAGTTGGGCCTGGTCTGTGACTGGCAAACCGGTCCTGTCTCCTGGAGCCACAGAGATAGGCTGACAGCTCGTTCCGCAGCTTTGCCATCTGGCTGGGATCCCACCAGTCCACGGACTCTGAAGAGGCTGTGTCCTCTGGGCTGGGGGGGTCAAGTTTGGGTTTGGGAGCAGGAGAGCTGGACTTGGGTCTTTTCATAACCCCAGCCAGGGGAGGGGCTGCCTTCTCAGCAGATGGCAAAGGAGGGGCAGCTGGGGGCAGGGGGGGGGCCGGGGGAGGGGGTGGGAGTGGAGGAGGGGGCAGGGGAGAGGCTGCAGGTGGAGTCTCGGCTTGTTCACTTGTCCAGGCCTGGGACTGGCCCGGCCTCGGACTGGCTGGTGCCGTAGCCCTGGGCTCCTCAGGATGGTCTGGTTCAGTGGCCCTGTCGGGGTAGACCTGGGACGCGGGGCGGATGTGAAAGCTGGGAGGCAGTGGGAGTCGACTGGGGGCCTTCTTGGTGGCCTCTCTTTCCTCAGGAAGAGCCCCTTGTGCTTCCTGAGAGGAGATGGATGAAGTCCTGACTGGGGTTGGGGGAGGCACCTTGAGCGAGCTGGGGAAGGTGAGGTGGGTCTCCGGTCCCAGGAGGCTCCCCTTGGGCTCAGCAGGGCTCCCGGAGGGGCTGCCTCTGGGGACCTCTGGCTGCCTGTCACTCAGCGCTACCTCTGATTTCCACTTGGTGACACCCGCAGCGGGGAAGGGGTGAGTCCCCGGTGTACGAGGAGACACTGGAGCTGGGGGAGCCGGGGCTGGCAAAAGGGGTAGGGGGGGCGCAGGGGGAATGAAGTCCGGAGGGGTGGGTGTGGAGGGGGAGGGAAGGCAGGGTGCGGTGGATAGGGCCCCCATTACTGGGGGCAGAGGTGGAGCCATGCTGGGCGGGGACGGGGGTTCCAGCAGCAGCGGGGGAGGCGGGGGAGCCGTGGAAGGTGGAGGTGGTGGTGAGGGCTCCTCTTGAGGCTGCGGAGCGTCTGAGGGTGGTGCCGGGGCTGGGCCCGGGGGTGGCGGGGGGATGAGCAAGTCTTGGCCATACTGCCCAGGCCTCAGGTCCCCCACAGAGCTGTATAATCGGAGGTTGCCATTGATAAGCTTGCTGGTGCCTGCAAGGAGGGAGAGGCAGAGATGAGAAGGGCGAGAAGGCAGCCGGGCTTGCCCATCTCCAAGTGCCCAGGGCAGGGCGGGGTGGGCTCCTGAGGGAGTAGCTGGCCGGTGTCATGTCTTTCCTTTTGAACAGCACGTGAGGAGCAGCCATGTCTCGAGTCTCCTGAGCTCTCCTGGGAGTGACCCTCTTCTTTCTGGGGAGGGGCCCCTGCCTGTCCCTGGCACAGCCTCTGGAGCCTGTGCTAAATCTTCTCCATAGGCTCCCGAGGCTCACCCTTCTCTGCCCCACTCACAGTCCTGTATATAATCCCTTTACTAAACTCTCTTCAGTTAGGCCCTTCAAGGGCACCAAGTGTTTCTTACAGGTGCCTTGGCTGGTACAAAGCCAGAAAGGCCAGGGTTCAAATCCTGGCTCTTCCACTTACTAAATGTGTAACCTGAGACACACTCATTAACCTTGCTGAGCCTCAGTTTCATCATCTGAAAAATGGGAACAATGTCAGCACTTACCTCATAAAGCTGTTGTGAGGATTAAGCAAGAGAATTCATGTAAATGCATGGCAAGAGCTTATCAGGTGCTAGGCCCATAGTAGGTGCTTAACAAATGGTAATTGCTTTGACTACTACCACCTGTGCTTACCTTTTCATTCAGCCGTAAGACAGACAGGGAAGGTGGCAGAGATAGGAAGTCATGGATGGGGGTGGGGGCCTGGAGACCTCAGTAAGGAAGTCTGGGTGAAAGTTTGGGAGGGAGAAATTTGCATGAGCACCTCCTGCTTTCTAAAGATCCTGAATCTACCAAGAACCCAGCTTTCCACCTCACAGAGAACTTCTGGAACAGATTCTGGACTGCAGGATGGATGGGGGTCTGTGGAAATGAGGTGACCTGGACGATCGAGGCACCAGAGAGATGCTGAGCCCCCCTGGCCCCAGCGGCTCACATCCCTCCCTTCTTGGCCCCAGCCCCTGCCCCCTCCCTATTGTCTGCAGGCCACCAGGATGCCCTGATTACTTCTCTCTGAGGGGTACCTGTCCTTCACCTCTCCTCCTCTCAATTTCTAGGGCAGAGAGAAACAAACCTGGGAATGTGCAGCTCTGAAGGGCTCCTCCCAGCTGTCTGACTTCAAAACAAAAGCCAGACAGAGAGTAGGGAGGGGGAAAACCAACACCCATTGAGCACCCATTGAGCACATTGAGTAAAAGACAAACCAAAAAATAGTCAAAATACTGGCTCTCGTGGAGCTTGTGTTTTAATGGGGCAATGGGACAGGCAATAAACATAATATATTAGTAAATTACTACCACATTAGGTGATGAGTAATATGGGGGAAACCCAGGAGGGGTGGTAGGGGTGCAATGTGACTAGGGTGGTCAGGGAAGACCTGGCTGAGAAGGTGACACTGGAGCAAAGAGGAAAAGAGGGAAAGAGGGAGGCGAGAGCTGTGCACACGTGCAGGCGAAGAACTGTCAGGGCAGTGGGAACTGCAGCGCAAAGACCTGAGGGTGGAAATGTGCCTGGATATTGAAGGAGCAGCAAGGAGACCGGGATGGCGGAGCAGCATGAGACGGGAAAGCCAGCAGGAGATGAGGCCAGGTAGGGCCAGATTCTGGCGGTCCTGGCAAGAACCCTTCCACTGGGTGACAAGGGAAGTCACTGGAGGGTTTTGAGCAGGGTATGACAAGAAGTGACTTGCATCCCATCCAGTACTTAGTTTACTCTTCCAGAACTGGAATTGTCTTGCCCGTGGCTCATTGGAAGATACGGAGGTGCAAGGGGTTAAGTGATTTGCCCCAGGGAGCGAAGCTAGTATGCAGGGGAGCTGGGACTCGAAGCCAGGTCTGCCTGACTCCAGGGTTCTCTCTACCACTCACGCTGAACTTGTTCCTGCTCTGGCCTCGGCCCTCACCATCCTTCCCCCACTGGGCCTTAGCCAACCGTGGCTCTCCTCATCTCCCACCCACAACAGCCAGCAGCCAAGAGGCCCGGGGACTCCAGCTTTCTCACCAGCTGGGGAGGGGGGACCAGATGCTTGCGCTTAAGGAGGAAAAAAAGAAAGATGGACAAGCCCCAAGCTTAGGGTCCTCTTACCTGTCATTTGTTGGTCTGCAAAGTTGTCTGGGACAGAGGGGGTGGGCACAGCCAGTCCATGGTTCTCCTGGGCATCCTGAAAGAGAGCAGAACAGTTAGGGGACAGGGAAAGACATATGGTTCTTAAATCGCTACTCGTGAGGCCATTTTATTGCTGGAAAATCCACAGTGATGGTTGCACAACCTTGTGAGTATACTAAAATATAAAAGGGCTCAGTTAAAAGCGTGAATTTTATGATATAGTCGAGTCTTGTTATTCGCGGTAGTTAGGGTCTATAAAGTTGCCGCGAACACTCAATTAGCAAAAACTGGATCAAAATGCCCGAGGGAAATGCCCGAGGGTTAGGTTCCTGTAAACCTTAGTCAAGGCACCTTCATCAGCTGATCAATACATAACTTTGTTTTATGCATGTTTCTGTTTAAAGAGACCTTATTTAATATCTATTGTTGACTCACTGACACTGAACCCATGGCCAACAGCACCATAACCCACACCTTCGGAGCTTACCTAACGCACGTATTTTCTCTGTTAAGGCACCTCACCTAGCCTCCTCGCATGTAGGGATGTCAGACGGCACATCAGCCCTATGCTTGGGGACCATTTTAAATAGCAAAATCACCAACAAAAAGCAAAGAAATATGAAAGAACATGGCACTAAATAGAAAAGGATGCTTATTTACCGCATGAGGGCTGAAACAAGAAAGCAAAGTGTCTTGTTCGACCTCGGCAGGGCCCGTGGGCATCAGGTGGCTCAAATTTTTCACTACTCTGCATATGTCCAGAGCATCTCGAGTACTGATGTGGGGGGTTACAAATAAATTTTAGCAAGTAGGCGAATTTGCAGATACAGAATCCGCAAATAATGAGAATCAACTGTATATAAATTGTATCTCAGTTAGAACAGAACAAACAAAAAGATTCTGCGTGACTCCCCAGGGATGGCCACAAGATAAAAAGCCAAACCCCTCAGGCCTGGCCTCCTGTTCACGCTTAGCTTTCATTAGGTATTTACAGAAAAGTACCTAAGTAAAAAGTGGTGAACTGGAGCTGTGGAAGGTGGAGACCATAATGTGTTTATACAGCTGTCGGTTTGTACATACTATTTTACATTCTTTTTTTTTTTTTCCGCCAAACACACATTTCCATATGTCAACAACGTCCACACACCTGTCCTTTGGAGGAGCTGTGGAGCATTTTATGGTCACTTTCAAGGTCCTCAACACCCTGGCCTCATCCTTCCCAGCCAACGTTTATTTCCACTCACCTGTTACAGCCATCCTGCATTCTAGCTGGACCAACTCCCTCCCCAGGATCCTTCCAACCCACACATCTGGTTCACGTTCATCCCCGACGCTGGGTGTTGGTCAGGCTGTGCTCCTCTTCCCACCCTCCATTTCTAACAATACCACCCAATGCTCTGTGCTCTAAACATATGATCGCCATCACACCACTCTGTGAAGAAGCTATCCCCATTTGTCAGAGACCGCGGAGGCTCAGAAATGTTTGGTAAGTTATCTATAGTCATATGACCAGTGCTGTCAAACCCAGGTCTGTGGAGCTCCCACCCCTGGGTATTTTGCTTCTTTAAAGTCTAAGTCTCTCATCCTGCAAGGATTAGCTGAGCCCCTCTAGAAAGATGGTAGCAGGGAAGGGGAAGCTCTGAAGCCAGACTGTCTGGATTTGAATTCCGGCTCTGCCACCTACTAGCTGTATGACTGTGCCAGTGACGTAAACTCTCAGGTTCCCTGACTATGCAACTGTGATGAAGATAGAATTTACCTATTCTAGGGAAGCTGTGAGGATTAAGTGATGCAATACACAAAAAGCACTTAGCTCCTGGCACGTAGTGAAAGCCCAATAAATGTTAGCTCTCGTTGTTATTCCTAAGGAGCCATCCCTTGTCTGCACCAGCCCACACTGACCTACCCTGTTCAGAGCAGCCCACAGCCAAGCCCCACAGGGAGGACTTCTGTTTGCTCTCTAGATATTACCCCAGTTCCTCCAATAAGATGTGGTTGCTCCTTGGAGCCCAGGGACATGTTTTACACGAATCCCCCAAAGCGGGACACATAGTAAGCCAAGTTGTTACTCGCTGATGGGCTGATGGTGCCAACTCTCTAGACTTAATGGTTTAATATATAAGAAGGGGGATTCAAGGTAGATGTTTCAGAAATATCCACAAGACCCTGGGTTACCAAGGGCAATCTCAGAATTACTCTCTGGCCATTTGAGGGCAACAAACAACCCATCTTCTTGTTCTTAAAGAATTTTGGGGACTTCCCTGGTGTCGCAGTGGTTAAGAATCCACCTGCCAATGCAGGGGACACGGGTTCGAGCCCTGGTCCGGGAAGATCCCACATGCCGCAGAGCAACTAAGCCCGTGCGCCACAACTACTGAGCCTGAGCTCTAGAGCCCACAGGCCAAAACTACTGAGCCTGCACACCATAACTACTGAAGCCACGGCCACTCCCGGCACTGCTGCCACAGAGCAGCCCTTGCTCAGTGCCTGGGGTAGAGTCCAGCCCTGGCCCTGCCAGATGGGGCATTCCCCATGGAACTGGGCCTCAGGCCTTCTGTGTCCCCACACCCAGACAACACCCAGAAGCTAAGATCACTGGTCACCTCACAGAGGGGTGCAAACCAGCTCCCCAGCTCAGTCAAGCAGCCCTTTAAAATCCCTCACAGCCTCATATATTGAAAAGTCACCCAGCAATGATTAGCTGGCAGGGAGGCTGGGGGCAGAAGTGCCGTTCCAAGAATATTTATATATATTTTCTTCCTTATACTTGTCTCTATGTTCAGTTCTTAACAATGAATTTCTGTTTCCTTCATAATTTAAAAAGCACACAGTACATAGTTTTTTGTTTTTTTTTTAATTCTTGTAATCAAGAAGAAAGAGCATGGATTTTATAGGCAGGCAGACCAAATTGGCAATTTTTTTTTTTTTTTTTTTTTTTACCACACCGCATGGCATGTGTGATCTTAGTTCCCACACCGGGGATCAAACCTGCACTGGAAATGTACAGTTTTAACCACTGGACAGCCAGGGAGGTCCCCAGATGGGCAATCTTAATTTAACTCCATCATCTCAAAGACAGAATCGGACACAAGGTCAGTGGTCAGGAAGTGTGCCCCCCTCTCGCCTTTTGAGGCTCAGTTTTCTCATCTGTAAGATGGGGTTGATCCCACCTCCCTTAGGTTTGTTGTGATACCCCACACCTAAATAGATCCTGCAGAGAAGCACTCAAGGAAGGACATTTCCCCGGGCTCCTGGCCCTCAGGCCCTAACAAAGCTCAGTAGGTGAGCAGTGGCCTGAGTCCATGGACACTTTGCCTGGGCACAGCTCCCGGGACGTGTCTGCCCAGCTGGAGCTGAAGAGATACATGGGTGCTTCCCCGTAGTCAGGGTCAGGTAGCCGGGAACCTCCTACTGCCCTTTCAACCACAGACATTTCAGAGTTGAAGAGAAGGAGGAAGGAAAGAGGAAGGGAGGAAAGCATTCACTATTCAGGATGAGGTTGTCTCCCCCTTAATGTTACAGGGGGTCAGAGCCCATTGCTAGCCCCCTGCTGCACCACCAAGGGCTCAGGGGACAGCCTTACCCCACCGATGGGCCCAGCCCTGCCCCCCTTGGCCTCCCTGGACTGGGACACACACATGCTCATGCCTGGGATTCTTCAGAACCCAGGCAACCCCCAAGGGTGGGTCACCAGGAGCTTGGCCAATGGGCCACACACGGTTGCCTTGGACACAGGCCAGCTCGGTGCCTTACTGACACATTGTGGAATGCAAACTTCCTCACCAGATTCCTCCAGTAGCCTGGCTGGGGCACCTCAGGGTGAGGTGTGGAGCTGCAGGGGGTGAGGGAGATGACCCTGAGTCAGAGTCAGAGCCAGGCACGGCTGGGGACACTGCTGTAGGCTGGGGGAGCAGGGGGACAGGCCCCCAGAGTGAGAGCCACAGGAAACCCCTCCAGGCACCCAGTGTCCCCAGCGGGGTGAAGCCCAGCCGGTTAGTTGTTTCCTGGCTTTGCGGGGCAGCGTGAGGGTACAGAGTGTGACCCCCACACAGCAGCTTCTCTGAAGCTGGGAACCAGTGAGCATTAAAAAAGAAGAGCTCCAGGGCTTCCCTGGTGGCGCAGTGGTTGAGAGTCCGCCTGCCGATGCAGGGGACACGGGTTCGCGCCCCGGTCCGGGAAGATCCCCCATGCCGCGGAGCGGCTGGGCCCGTGAGCCATGGCCGCTGAGCCTGCGCGTCCGGAGCCTGTGCTCCGCAACGGGAGAGGCCACAACAGTAAGAGGCCCGCATACCGCAAAAAAAACAACAACAAAAAGCCCCATTACTTCCCCGCCCTGCCCTCCACCCTCTGCCACAGCTCATACCCCCTTCCTGGGGGACAGAGAATTCCACCAAGGCCGTCTTCCTCTGGACCAGCCTGCCGTCCCAGAATTGCTCTTAGACCTCGTTTCAGGGTCCTGCCCTGGACTCTGAGCTACAGAGGGCCCTGCTCTGGTTCCCTTTAGGGCAAGGAGTCCATGGGATCAAAGGGACATGCCCTAAGAGCCCACAACACCCCGTTCTTGACCCTGCTCCAGGCACCAAGGTCCCTAGAATCCCCCATTTAAATGGCCCTGAGCCCATTTCTAGAGCTTCTTTCCCAGTCAGTCCTGAGGGCAGCCCAAGCTGGGGGTGCACATCCCTGAGCCCAAGGGGTGGCCATGTGTGGATAAGGATAAGGGTGTGGGTGGAGCTTTGGAGGTTCAGGCTGAGACCTCCACCATGGAGGAGGAGCCAGGTGGGCAGAGGTGGGGGTGGCTACGGTGGGGAGAGGGTGCTCCATCCATACACTGGCTGCAAGCTTCTGACACCCACCCCCCAGGAACGCATGGAGCTTCCCCCACCTGACAGCCCTCCCAGCTAACGTCAGCCATGCGAATCACTCGAAAGCCAATAAGGACTGCCCTTCCCAGCTCACCCTAAGGAGCTCAAACCCCAACCCCAAAGGGAGCCTGGGCCTTGAGTTCAGAGATGAGCTCCCACGGCGGGGGATGGGGTGGAAAAGTGGGAAGGAGAAATCCGGCTGACTTGGGCTGCATCTTTGCGTTTCAAGGAGGGCAGGGTCCAGACAGTCAGGCTTCCTGCCCGGAACCCAGGCTGACACCTCCCCAGGCACTGCCAGGCCTGCCTGACTCAGAGGGTGGGGTGACCCAGGGAGCTCTCACTGCCTGCAGCAGCCCAGGGGACCTGTCCAGCCAGTTTCCCCATATTTGCCACGTTGGCATTTAATTTTTAATTCCTCATATGCATCGCCCTGGAGATGGCTGGGCTCAGACTAGGGTAGGGCAAGAGGCAGCCCCAGAGAAAAGTATGACCTTCCTTCCACCAGTTGTTCCACCAGATCAGCTCTCAAAAGCTAGGGGCAGGCTCTGGCTTGAGCTCTGGGCCGGGCTCCCCCTTGGAGGTAGAAGGAAGTGGGGAGAAAGGATCCTTCCCCGACTCAGCCCAGCCCACGTGGTGGAGACAGGACTGGATTGAGAGGAGGAGACCTGGGCTTGGGTCCTGTCTCCACCTCCTTTGATCTGTGTGGCCTGGGCAGGACCGTCCCCTCCCTGGGCCTCAGTTTTCTCATCCTGATGAGCACTAAGGTCCGCCCCTACCCCAGCTCTGAAGTTTGCAATTCTAATCCAGTTCCTCAGAGCTTGCAGAGCAGGAAGTGGGGTGGCCCTGGTGACTGAAGCATGTCCTTTTCAGAGGGCCTGGAGTCTCTGGGGGGCTCCAGGGAGCTGACCCCACCTCCTGCCCCTCTGTTAGCAAGTTATTTTAACACAGAAAATCACAGCTGAGGAGACCCTAGTGGACCATCCAGTATAACCCCCGCTGGTGGGTGAGGAGCCAGCGGCCCTGGGAGAGGAAGGGCCTGGCCCTCAGCCACCCTGCAGCCCAGTGGCAGAGCGGGCACTGGTGCCAGTTACCTGAGGATCAATGCAGATCCCATCCCACTCACTGAGGGATCCCAAGGTCCTCTTCATAATTGGCCTCCGGCTGCTGGCTGCCTGAAAAAGTATTTCTTTGTTCTCTGCACTTTCACCTCAAACAGGGCAAGGAAGCTCCAGGAAGGGGCCAGTAGCACCTGCTGTGGCCCTTCTCCGCCTCATCTTGCCCTCCCCTCTCGCACCAGTCCCTCTGCGGGCTCCTGAGAGGTACTGACAGCGACAGTGCTCCCAGAAGATGGTCCGACCCGGACGGCGCTCAAGGAAGAACATGGGCCTGTCATGGGCATCGCCGCCTTGAGCCTCCCCTGCCCCAGGGTGGCCTGGCCTGGGAGGTGCCCCCTGAGTGTGGGAAGGGAGGAGAGGGAGGGGCAAGGCCCAGCTGGTTAGGACAGTGTCAGGCAGGGCTTGGCCTCGACCCAGCTCCCCACCCCTGCCCCAACTCGGTGGGGCTGGGGGCCAGGGTGTGCGCACGTGTGTCTACGTGTGAACCCACAGTTCTGTCCTCCTGCCTCTCATTCTCCCGGCCTCCTGCCCCAGCTAGAAGAAAGCAAAGGATCCAGCCCAGAGCCTAAGGGAGAGGAGTCGGACTCCCCTCAACCCAGGAGCCGGTGATGAAGGATATTGGGGCTGCTTTGTATCTTATGACCTGAGTCAGGAGTAAAACATGTCCCCGGGATACGGGCCACCATGCCCAGGGTTCCTAATCTTAAGATGCATCATAGGTGGGCTTCCAGGGGCCTGAGATCCCTCTGTTGGAATTGTAAGCAAAATTACGTGTACGTGGCTCATAGCCTCATCATGCTCTCAAAGGGGTCTATGACCCTACAGAGGCAAAAGCCCTGATGCCCAGAAAGCCCTGGCTGCCAGGCAGGGGTTCAGAGAGGCAGACACGGGAGATGCAGGCGGTGCTGCGGGCTGGTGCTGGGAGGGAAGAAAAAAAGCTTCTAGGCCGTGGGTGGAGGGGAAGATAGGACGGCCTGAATAGAACTCGGAGCCTGGAGCCTGGCTACAAATCCCAGCTCTGCCACTTATGAGCTGCCTGTCCTTAAGCAAGTTACTGCCCCATCCTGTGCTTCAGTTTCTCTACCTGTAAAATGGGGATTCACAGCAGCATCTTCCCAAGAGGGTGGCTCCAATGACTCTGTTAACACATGCGAGGCACTTGGGATGGTGCCTGACGCACAGTAAGTGTCCCCCACGTGTCAGCCACGATCTCATGGCCCTGCCACTGGCTAGGACCACACAAGCCACCCAGCCGGCACCGACGGCATGGAATGACCTTCCCTTTCTGGGTTCAGTTCCTGCCAATGTAAAGTGAGGCTGGTGTGGACCCGACGAGGCCCCTTTCAGTTGTGGGTTCACAGTGTGTTCATTCCCTCGCCTTCACCAGTGAGGGGCCGTGAGTTTGGTGGAGAGAAGCCCCATCTCCTGGGACTGGGTCTGAGGCTTGCCCGGAAGGACTGCTCCCAAGCCAGTACCAGCCAGCAGTCCCTAACCCTGTGCAGCACCCCCAGTCATGCTCGGCTTGGCCCAGACCAGATCCAAACCAGAGGACCCAAGCCAGAAAGGAGGAGAGCAGAAAGGCAGGGACCTGCACTGATCACTGAAGGGGCCCAAAGTGGGTGGGTGGGTGGGAGCAGGGATACAGGATGCCGGCCCATCAGAAGAAACTCAGCTGCGCTGCATTAACCCTTTACTTGCTGGTGCAGATCTGAGGGAGGAGCCAGGACAGCAGGAGCCACTCAAGGGGAAACAGCCATTTATTTAAATATTTTAACAACCAGAACAGGCGCTGGTGCGTCAGCCCTGGGCGCCCACCACTGTAATTCTGAGTATGTGTGCTGGGAGTAGGTGAAGGGGGAGAATCGAATTCACTTCCAGCGATGGAAAATCTCAAAATTATTTCATCTGCATGTATGGGTGCGATAACCCTGTAACAGTTTTATGCATCTCTGGAAACAAAGTTAGGGGTGGACTCATTTGCTTTATACCTTTTTGGTGGTGGTGGTGCACTCTCTCTGTTCGTCTGTGATGTCCGTGAATTGCTTTCGTAAGCAGAAAATAAATTCCTTACAGTTGTATTCCCAGAGGTCTGTGCGCTCAGCCCTCCACATACAGGCCTTGGCGTCGCAGCAAGGAGACTGTAAGTCTCAGTCCCTCTCACAAAGAATCTCGGGGTCTGGTTGGTGAGCTTGGACAACCCAGAAAAAATCGGTGATGGTGCAAGGGAGATGGTTGTGCTGGACAGAACTTGTGGGTGCCCCAGACTGAGGCATGGGGTGCCATGAGGTCTAACAGGCCCCTGAGAACTCAGGCCAGGATTAGGTGCCTTGTCAGTTGAGGTATGGGATGCTGTGACCCCAGTGACTGTATTGTCTCAACCGGGACCCAGGTCTCACAGACAGTAGTGAACCTGGAATTTATGAGGCTGACAGTTTAGGCTCTAAATCTGGGCTGTCGCATACGGTAGCCACTGGCCACAAGTGGCTATTGAGCCCTTGAAATGTTGCTAGTCAGAAGTCAGATGTGTGCTCTGAATGTGGCACACCAGATTTTGAAGACTTAGTATGAAAGAAAGAATGTAAACTACCTCAGTAGTATTTTCTACATTGATTAAATGTTGAAATGATCATCTTTGGACTAATTTTACCTATTTCTTTTCCATGTAGCTACTAGAAATTATAAAATTACACATGAGGCTCACATTATACTTCTATTGGATGGCGCTGGTCTAGGCTGTCCCTGAAAACCCAGTCACAGAGCAGTTGTTTTGAGTGTCTTTCCCTTTAGAGAACAAAAGCCCAACCACAGGCTCCAGAAGGGAGTTTTTGGTTTCTGGCAGTTTCAGATCCACAAACAAATCGGTCCCAAATGCCCTTCTCCCAAGGGTCACTGCTATTTGACCTTTGAGACAGTTCAGGTGCCACCTCTTCCAGGAAGCTTTCCTTGATCACCACCCTGTAGCTGGATTGGCCACTCCTGCTCTGGCCTATATTCTAATAGTCTGTTTACTGATTCATCCCCTGCACTGGGCAGGAAGTTCCTTGAGCAATGCTGGCTCAATCATCTCTGAATCCCAGAATCCAATGCAGGGCGTGGCACAGAGCAGTCAGCCATCGGTGACTGTGGAATATGAATCCTGCTGAGCTGGAGGTACCCACTGCTGCATTGCCTCTGCATGCAACTTCCCCATAACCTCTCCTTAGGTTTCGACTCGGAGGAGCTGACACCCCTAATCCCAGCCTTTCTGCCATGAGCCATGCCTCCTCCCAGTAGCCACCCTGGGTTGGCATCAGGACGGAAGGGGATGGACAGAGGGTGAGGCTGATGACCACTCGGGCCAGGGCAGGTGGGGCTCCCTCCTCTATGGCAGCCAAGGTGGCCCATCCACAGCAGACCCACAGACCTCAGGGCAGAACAGTACTCACCAGTGGAAGAAAGGTCAGCAGGGGCCGGACTCTTGGCCGAGCTTTCAGTGTGGCGGTTCCCGACTCACTACCTGTGTCAACTCGGTTGTCTCCAAAATAGATCCCATCTAGAGGAGACAAGTGAGGGGAGACCATGAGCTGGAGATCAAAGGCACAGGGGCCAATGGAGTTTAATCAGGAAAACTGAGTTTAATCAGGCCCCGCAGTGGCCCCTGCTGGACCCAGCCCAGCACCTCTTACATAACAAGATCCTACGGGTGGGGCGTGTGCTTTTGGGACCAAGTGAAGCAGGATTGGGAGGGACTCCAGGGGCGGTTTCTTGGGGTCTCCTGAAGCTTTCAGCCACCAGCAGTCCTCTCTCCTCATCCACCCCATACAGGTCCTGAGCCTTCACTCCCACAACAAGTCCCTCCTTTTGGGGCCCTGAGAGCTTGATCAAGGCCCCAGCTAAAGCTTATCTCTGAGAGAGGGAGGAAAACAAGCTGGCTTTTCGCTTGAGTGTTTGAATTTCTAATCTGGAACAAGCAGAGCAGATTAGGCCACCCAGTGGCCCAGCACCCACCTTCTGGACTCCTCTAACCCAAGATTTCTTTAGCTCCCAAACCATCAATGGTTGGAGGCATGGCTCCATCTGATGCGCCCTTGAGGACAGAGCAGAAATAGGACAGTAGGGTCCACCTGACTTAGTACAAATCCCAGCTCTGCCACTGACTCACCATGTGGCTTAACCTCTCTGGGCCTCAGTTTTCCCATCTGTACAACGGGAACAATGACAGTGCCAGCAAATGTGGTCCCGTCCTCTGTAGGAAGACAATACAGGACCTTTCTCTTCCTCTAGTTGCTGGACCTGTGCTCTGGGCTGTTTCTACAATAGTGGGAACTATTGTAGAACATTTTCTCAACCAATCTCCCTCATAACTCTTAAGACACATTGATGAGAATTTCACACACTGTCACCTCTGAGAGGCAGGGGTCACTGTGGACCTCCTACTACATGGGCCATGAGCAAGGAGGGCTTTCTCCATTTACTGGGGCCAAGGGACTTTCTCTTCCTCTATAGCAAGGGACTTTATAGCAAGGGACTTTCCTTTTCCTCTATAGCAAGGGACTCTATAGCAAGGGACTTTCCTTTCCCCAGAGGGGAAAGAGGAGAAAGGTCAAAATTCCAACTAACCAGAATCCTACTAACTGGAACATTGGATGAATGGTGGTTACTTTGCCTCTTGCACATGACTTTAGGAGAAAAGTGCAAGAGTTTAAAGATTCCCACATAGAGGGCCTTGACTGTGACATGGAGGCTCTGGGGAGCACCCCAGAAATGGGACACAGAGTCCTTTATGTGATGCCCTACCTGGCGGAGAGTCGGCTGGCACATTCCAGATTCTCTACCTCTCAAAGGGGCCAAAATGGCGAGTTTTCCCCATGTCTCCAGAAATTCTAGTTCCCAGCGCTGCCCCGTCCCGTCCCGTACACTCTGGGCAAACATGATTCCCCAGTGGTGGCTGCCAGGCTCCATGCCTAAGGCTGGAGACCAAGATGCCAGAGGGTGGGTGGGGAGGGAGAGGGGGGTTGTAAGAGTGCAGATTTGGCACAATCAGAAACAAGAAAAGTAGAAATAACAGGACACCCCCAACAGCTACCACTAAAACCCACCCAATTCTCACTGGCTTCTAAGCGTCTTGTGTTGACAACAGGATTTCCTGGGACATTCTCTAGATAGTGCTGTTTTGATCACCAAGACGTTATACTGGGGGTGGGGTGGGGACTAACACAGGCACGCTTCCAAGCAGACCTCTCTCATTATTTTATTTAATCTCTGCACCAGTGTTGGGGTCTAGGGAGCATCCTTTCTGCAGCTGAGTTACCACAATATGAATAGTTCCTCTTATTGTGTGCCTAGGAGTTTTAGAAGCAAGCAATCTGGCAGGTTGATCACTATAATAGCAGTAATAATATAAGACTAGGTAGAATTTATTGAACACTTGTAATGGGCCAGGCACCCTTCTAAGCATCTTATACCTTATTAATTCATCTAATTCTCAAAACAGCCCCTTGCAATTGGTATGATCACCATCCCTGTTTTACAGATGAGAAAACTGAGGCACAGAGAGAGATCTAATAACTTGCCCAAAGCCTCAGAGTAAGTGGTGAAGCTGGGGTCTCTGCTCCAGGGCCGACCTCTGAGCCACTATACTGTACACACTGCTCCAAAGTGGGGAATCCTGATCCCGCCATTTATAGGATGTGGATGGGAGGATGGGGGTGTGAGGGCCAGGGGTGCTATTGGAGGGTATGGGAGGCTTGGCTGTAGCCAAGAGGCAGTGCTGGGGAGGGGTGGGAGGTGAAGCAGCTTGCCCAAGGCCCACACGGGTTAGGGCAGAGCCAGATCTGAGCTGGGGCCATCTGACCCCCACATGCTCCCACTCTACACACCTCACAGATTCCACGACTCAGCCCTGATTCTGAGCCACTGTTGTCTCAGTTGGTTTGTGGTTGTTTTGAGCAGGGGAGCCCTTTCTCAGAATACGATTATTCTCTGGAATACCTATGGAAGGCGAGCAGCTGTGGTAGACAGAAGTGGAAGGCCTGCGTGGCTCCCTCCCAAGGGGGCACCTCTTGGAAATGCAATTTGATTTCCCCATTCTAAGAGGTGTGGCTGGGAGTCGGGGAAGGAAATGTGATGAGAGAAGCAGAGTCAAAGTGGTGTGATGTGAGAAAGACTTGGCTGGCCACTGCCGTGTTTGAAGATGGAAGGGGCCACGAGCCAGGGAGTGCAGGCAGCTTCTAGAAGCTGGAAAAGGTGAGAAAACATTCTTCCCTAGAACCTCCAGAAAATAACACAGTGTTGCTGACACTTTCATTTTAGCCCAGTGAGATCAGTGTCAGACTTCTGACCTACAGAACCGTAAGATAATAAATGTATGTTATTTCAAGAAAAAAAAAAAAGAGGTGTGTCTAGAACCTGACAGACTTTCCCTGGGCCCCTCATACCTGGGCTCAGTTCCCAGTTGGTCAAGGCACACCAGCAGGTGAGTCAAGTGTGGCCACTACCATAAGCGGGGTCCCCCAAGAGTTCAAGGTCAGGGCTGGGGCTTTCTGAGCCTCACGGTCAAGGTCCAAAACTAAACGGAAAGACAATAGAGTCCAACCTTGGGGATTTTCCTGTGGAAGTAAATGAATGCTGCTAGGATCAGTGTCAGGGATACCAGAATGGGCCTTCCTGGGAAGCAGCCCCCTCCTCAATTGAAGAGATTAAAGGAGGGCCTCTTGGGCTTCCACTGCTGCTGCTGGTGGCGCAGTGGTTGAGAGTCTGCCTGCCGATGCAGGGGACACGGGTTCGTGCCCCGGTCCGGGAGGATCCCACATGCCGCATGCCACGGAGTGGCTGGGCCTGTGAGCCATGGCCGCTGAGCCTGTGCTCCGCAACGGGAGAGGCCACAACAGTGAGGGGCCGCATACCTCAAAAAAAAAAAAAAAAAGGAGGGCCTCTTGAAGAAGGAATGGACAGTGAGGAGATGAAGCCAGAGACAGACAGGAGGCTGGACAACCCTACCCATGGTGGGGAAGTCACTGGGAGGTGGGTGGCCCTTTGCCCTCTTGTCAGGGAGAGCTCTGAGTCTGGATGCTTGGGGCTGCCCTCTTTGCTGATGGGGAGACTGAGGCCCAGAACAGATGGGGCTGGTCCAAGGTCTCAGAGCAGTGGTGGTGGTGCCAGGGCTCAAACGAGGTCCCCAACTTGCAGTGCTGGGCTCCAGGCACAAATAATGGGGTGCCTTACACATGGCGCATGGCTTGCTGCCTCTCCCCAAACAGGCTGACCTGGTTCTCTCAGTCTGGGGCAGGGCGTGTGCATGTGCGTGTGTGTGTGTGTGTGTGTGTCTGTCTGTTAAGTGGAGGGGGGAACAGCCAGCTTTAGGGGAGCTGAGGGCTGGGCACAAGTGGCTGCCTCACTTCCAGCCCTTCCTTTCTCCTTCTCCCCAAAAGAAGGAAACTCTCATTGGGCCTTTGGCATTCGCTTACTTACAAAGGTCAGGGTTGAAAGCCTGATAAAATGCTCTTCTTCCCCCAGCCCAAAAGCTGCCCATGGATCTCCATGGAGGCTGAGCTCTGAGACAGTTATTGAGCTCTTTCCCCAGATCCTAGACAGGTCCAAACTAGAGAGGAAATGAATGATAAAAATGTAACTTTCTGACACCTGATATGCCATATTACGAGCTGGGCACCATTCTAAGTGCTCTTTACATCCCCCTTCACAAACCTGTGCGGGGCTTCCCTGGTGGCGCAGTGATTCAGAGTCCGCCTGCCAATGCAGGGGACACGGGTTCGAGCCCTGGTCCCGGAAGATCCCACATGCCACGGAGCAACTAAGCCCATGAGCCACAACTACTGAGCCTGTGCTCTAGAGCCCACAAGTCACAACCACTGAGCCCATGCGCCGCACCTACTGAAGCCCACGTGCTCTAGAGCCCGTGCTCTGCAACAAGCCACCACAATAAGAAGCCCGCGCACCACAACGAAGACCTAACACAGCCAATAAATAAATAAATAAAATTGTTTTAAAAAAAACCTGCGCGGGAGGTACACTTATTATCCTCATTTGGCAGATGAGGAAACTGAGGCTCAGAGAGGTTAAGTCCCCTGCCCAAGGTCCCACAGCTGGTGAGTAAAAGGGGCCAGGATTCAAGCCCAGGCAACCTGACTCTAGAATCCAATTCCCTCTGGTCACAGCCAGGACAGCAAGGAAATCACACAGGGATTCAGCATCTCTTTCCTTGGTCTCCTGTTCTTCCAGAGTGAGACTGGAAAGTTGGTGAGGTCTAGAGGAGACAAATGCATCTTGGAATCAGATCTGGGGTCACAGCCCAGCTCCTCCATGTAGCACCTCAGGCTGGGTTTCCCCACCCATCAAATGGGGATCATTTTGGGAGAAGCCTCCCAAAATCAAGGGAGACAAAAAAGCTAGCAGGGGTGAGAGGAAGGCTGGGGTAATGGTGTGGGGTCCCAAATTGCCAGGACCCCCCTCCAAATGGCCCCAGGAGCACTGGCCACAGGTCTCATCAAATTCCAGGTGCTTAAAAGCGGTGGTGTTCTAGCTTGGGAGAGTTTGCTACCTTGACCAGTGTAACCCAGAACCCAAAAACAGACCCCCACCTCCACTCCACTGAAGTGGGTTACCTGATCCTTGGCCACTAGGGGAAGCCCAGCCATTCAGGGACGCAGCAGGGGGCCCCAGGTGAATGTAACCCACAAATGGCTTCCTTGCTAATTAACAGGGCCACGTGACAGGAACCTGAAAAGGTTGGTCTGTCCCAGCAAGCCCCAGCAGGTCTGACCTGGTGCGCCAGAGAGAGGCCTTTGTCCAAGCGCAGAGGGGACTCCAAAGGGGGCACTGGGCTGGGCTAGAGCCACAGAGTGTGGGGGCGGGCACAACGGGAGGAGCCTTGGGGTTGGGGACTGGAGGGGGGAGGAGTGCAGCAAATAGGCCGTCCGCTAGGACATGCTACCCAAAGTATGGCCTGTAGACCTGCCGGACTTCACCTGGGAACTTCTCAAAGTGCATCTGAATCTGACCTTGACAAGGTCCCGGGTGATTGGATGCACTTTAATTTTTCAGCTGCCTTGAGCTGAAATGCCTTTGAGTCATTCAACCTATCTGAGCCTCTGAGCGTTTCCTCAATTGAGAAAACATAGTTTTTAGTACAGTGCCTGTTTCAATAAATAACTGATAATAATAATGATGATGTTATTATTGTTATTAATTTATTGGCTGGGAGAGAAAGGGCACCCTGTAGCCAGTCTGCAGTGGTCAAGGGAGGGCCTGGCTTTCTGAGCTGAACTACAGGAACAAGAGGAGCTTATATAATGGGACAGTAGAGGGTGTGTGTGTGTGTGTGTGTGTGTGTGTGTGCTGAGCTGCAAGCAAACCACAGCACACCTCCAGGGGACGGGAGTAAACAAAAATCTCCTTCACACCCCTGCCATGCACAGGTCAGCTTTCCTTTCGGTAGGCTGGTGCCAGCCTGTCCCTGGCCAGAAATATGTGCTCAGCCCCTGGGGTTCATGGCTTCCTACCTGTTAGCCTGGCCTGAGACACCAGGGCAGGGGACCCCAGGAGCAGGAATACCAGAACCAGTAGCCACCTTAGGGAGCACTGGGGTTCTCCTGGATAAGGAGCTGGGACAGTCCCTATATATTTATTTAGAACTGCAAAAAGTCCTCAGGGGAAAGAGAATGGCCCAGCTCCATCTGGGGAAGGAAACCCCAGGATTCTCAAATATTCCCATATAAAAGAATCACCCAGGAGCTGGTGAAAAGTCCAGAATCTGGGTCCTAGTCCAGTGATTCTGACTTCATGTACCCCAGGTGGGCCCCCTGGATCTGCATTTTAAATAAGTGTTCTAGGTGGTTGGGAGGAAGGTGATTTACATTTTGGAGGAACAAGAAAGAAGGGCACCCAGCAATCAGGGCATCTTATTGGTGGGGTGGGGTGGTGGTAGATAAAGAAGCTTGGCTCAACTAACCCAAGTGGCAAGGGAGGAGTCCTGAGTGACTAGCAGCCTTGTCTCAGGCTGCAGCAAGTCCCTTATCCTGAGATTTGTAAAGATGCACATCTCTGCTTTCTCACGTACTTTAAAAGCAATTGTGTAGCCTTTTAAGACCCTTGTGTGGGCTCACAGGAGGCTTAATTAGGATTGCAATTGCATTAAGTGAAGCCCTTCTAATAGTTACTGGATAAATGTTAGGGAAATCCTGTAAAGAAAAATTTACCTGTCACCACCTTCACATGACTGTTTGCATTTTACCTGCTGCACCCAGCCTACCCTTGTGCAAACAGATTTTTACATGACTGTAGCCACAGAGCAAGTGGCTACTCCTTAATTCCCTTACACACTCCCACACTGATTCTTCCCCCTCCATCCTACCAGCTATTCTCCAAGGGCTGGATACCGCCAGCATCTCAGAGAATTTCACAGACTCAGGGACCCTATGAAACTAATCCCAACCCCTTTGAGCTCTTATCATGGCCTCTACATGCCTCAGCTACAGGAACTGAAGCAGGAAGTGCTCAGAGTTGGAAATGCCCTGATAATAATAAATCATGCAGGAGTCGACAGATTTTTTCTGTAAAGGGCCAGCTAGGAAATATTTTTGGCTTTGTGAGCCATACTGTCTCTGCTGCTGTGACTCAACTCTGCCCTTAGTAGCATGAAAGCAACCACAGATGATATGCAAATGATGGGCATGGCTGACTGTGTTCTAATAAAACTTTATTTACAAAAACAGGCCATGGGCCATAATTTGCCAATCCTTGTTTTAGTGTTTTTCCTTTTAACGCTCTTCAAAGCACTGTCATATACCAACCTCAAGCAGTCATTCTGTAAGCAGTCTGGACACCAGCCCCATTTAACAGAAGAAAAAAACTGGCCCAGAGAGTGGCTAGGCCCCCACTTATTGACAGAGGTGGACTCCAAAACAGGTCTGGGATCTTCATCACATCCCAGAATCCCCAACACTGGTCCTTCCCCTCCCCAACTCCGAGCACATGTCCTGTTCAGCAGGAAGACCTCTGCTACACCCACTGGCACCCTGAGGAACAGCCCAGAAACACTGGAGAGCCATCCTGCTGGGTGCACATTGCTTCCCACCCCTCCATGTGGTGCAACCAGGCTGAGTCAGATGGAGACTCAGCCCTGCCCTGGGGAACGGGAGGAGGTGCCTCCCTGGGCTCCAGCCCTGCTGGTGGAGGCAGCAGTTGGCTAGAGGTGACAGGGCACCATACCTGCATCTCTCTACTGGAGGGACTGAACCCCACCTGCAGTCTGTTCAGTGCAGGCAAAAACATAGAGAAGTATGTAAGGCAAAAATGTACAGAAGTGTGTAAGGCATTCCCCTTGGGGAAGGAGTTGGGGGGAGTGAGGGGGGAGGTGTTCTCAAGCAGATGCCCCTCCAGTCAAATTCCCCCTTGATTACCTTCCACAAAGTCCACTCTGCAAGCCGGCTAAGAGTGTGGTCTCTGGAGCCCCACTGCCTGGGTTCAAATATTGGCTGTGCATCATGAGGGAAACTGTGGGGTAATGGAAATGTCCCAAAACTGAATTGCACTGATGGTTACGCAACTTGATAACTCTACTAAAAAAATCAGTGAACTGGACACTTGAGAAAACCCTGGCTCCGTCATTTAAAGCTGTGTGATCTTGGGCGTGTTACTTAACCTCGCTGTGCCTTGGTTGCCTCATCTGTCAAACAGGATCATAGGCTAGGATTCAACAAGTCAACAACACAAGGACTTTAGAACGGTACGTTGCACCTAAGAAGGGGTCGATAAACGTTTGGGACCCAGGCGAGGAGAGGCGTTTAGGCCTCAAAGAGTTGTACTTGGCAGGACATGTGTGTTTGTTAAGGTCCTAAACCCTGCCTCCAAGCCACCCTGGCCCTCGTAGGCTTTGCTCCTGCTGTTTGCTCTCGCAGTGCTGGGTGCCCTTCCCTCTCAGCTCACATGCTAGTTCCAATCAGAGGTCATCTCTCTCTGTTCCTTTTGCACTTACTCTTTTATAGCAAAGACTCAGAAAGGGCTAAACAGCATTCGGTCAGCTCTGTTCACCAGCTGGTCTGAGATCCTTGGGCCAGAGAGAGGCAACGTCTTGTTTGCCCTGCTCCTGTCAGGGTGCCTTGTGTCCCAACTGTGACAACTTGGGTGCTGAAGTGAATCCAATAGCAGGGGTTGAGGCTGTAACATCCTCTGTGGGTCCCCACACAGTGGCCATAAAGGTCAGTGAAGGTAATGGGGTGACAATGAAGGCAGGTGAGGTAAAGCAGTGATGGGTGACCCTCCTTGGGCCCAGAAGCTCAGATCATACACAAGAAGTGAATTCCTGTCCCCACCCCCTGGATTCCCCCTCAGTTATATAGGGTACAAACTGCAGAAAGATGCAGTGATAAGGTGACCCACAGGCAGAACCCCTTTAAAGGCAGGGTGGGCATGGTGTTTTCAGATGCCTGCAGACACACCACCCTGACGCAGGGGCCAGGGGCGGCTGGCAGTCAGGAGGGGCTTCCTCAGCCTCCCCTGTCGGGTCTGGGGCTTCTCCCTCTGACCTGACAAGAGCCTGTGACCCCAGTAAGTGACTTGGTGTCTGGCACAGGCTGGTATCCTGCTAGCAGTGGCTCCTGTGGATTTTTCCTGGGCCTCCCCAAGGCAGAGCCAAGTGTGTGGGCACGCAGATAGCAGCTCCCTCTCTGCCTGTGACCCCGGGCCAGGCGAAGCAGGGCTGGGAAATGGGGGTGGGGGGACGGCGGAAGCGGAAAGAGTGGGGGGTTGAAAGGACCACCCTCAAGTCCTCAGATCCAGGGGAACACTTTGTACTCAACAGTACTGCTGGGGGAAGGGTGAGGGAGGGCACTGCAAACCGCGGGAAGCCTTTCTGGCAACAATAACGCAAATATAACTTCCACAGAGGAGGGAAAATAAACACCTCGGAAGAAGGACTAAGATCAGATGCGGGGACCCCCGCGAAGGTCTCCGACCTCGCTGTGGAGAGGGGCCCCTCCTTCCCTTTCCCAGAGACACCTCTCTCGCCGGAGGCTCCTGCCCGGCCAGCACACAGGTTCAAACGCGTTCCTTCCCCTCTGCGCTGCCGCGTCTCCCGCCCTGGAGGCCGCGGATCGCCCGGAGTCCCGGGAGGGAGGTCGCCCCCGGGGTGGGGGGACCGCCCGGCAGCCCTGCGCCCTCCGGCTCCGGGGCACACTCACCGAAGTCCCGGGTCCCCTCCTCCGGGGCCTCCTGGGTGAAAATCCAGGGGGGGTTGGTGGCGTAGAGGGAGGTGGCGGGAGGGTTGGCGTGCTTCTTGCCGAAGAGTTTGCTGAAGGTGCCCTGCACCGTCGGGTTCTTTTTCATGCTGCCGCCGGCCGAGCAGGCGCCGGGGAGGACCGTCCCTCCGCCTCCTGCCCTGCTCCGGACTGGACTCCTCACCGTCTCCCCAGGGGCCTCTACCAGGCCATGGCCCCGCGCCGTCCTCCCCGCCCACGCACCGGGAGACAGGTGCTGCGGGCGCCGCCGCTCGCCGGGAAATGCGAGCTACCTGGACAGGTAAGAGGCTGCGGCTGCGACCCGGCCCCGCCCCGCGGCTGCCGCCGCCGCCGCCGCCGCCCCGCCGGCCCGCCGCCCGACTCCCCCGGCCGCATTCCTGCCGCCTCCTTCCACAACTGGCCATTGTTGGTGGGGCCCGGTGGGCCAGGGACCTCGCCCAGCCCACGCCCAGCGGCGGAGACGACCCGCCCCCTCCCCCGGGTCGCCTCCCGGCCCCCCTCCTCCACCCCTCGTCCCCCGGGGAAGGGAGGGGGCAGGCCAGTTCCCAGCTTCTCAGGAGGTGTGTGACCACGTCGATCCGGAGCTTCGGAAACAACTCTTGCGCCCAGCACTGGGGAAGTGGCTGGACACAGCGCGCGCGCTGAAGGGTTCTAGGGGCCCTCAGAAATGTGGGCCAGGCATCTTCCATGCCTGTAAGGAAATGCCCATAAGAAAAGAAGGTAAAAGCAATAAATAAAAAAACTAAAAAAGCAAAAAACTAATGTCCCGATCTGATGACTAGGGCGGAAAGTATCCTCATTGACAGAGCTCCAAAGAGCATGTAGGATGACTAAATCTTGGCATTTTTTTTTAAACACCAAATTCTTTTTCTTTTCTCTGTGAAGCTAAGTGAATATATATTTTACTAGTCTTTCAGATGTTTCAGGATGAAAAGTTGAAGGGAAAATATCTGGTACAAAGAGCAGTGCCACCCCAACTGTCTGGGAGAAAGAGGAGGAGAAATGCAGTGGGGGTTCTGATTGGGTAGCTCAGGGGAAACACTCTATCTGTGACTGGATCGCCCCCCACCCAGCCTTCCACCCCTGCTGCCCAGAAAGCATCCAAATCTAACTAGAAATATAGTTGACTTACAACATTATATTAGTTTCAGGTGTACAACATAGTGATTTAATATTTTTATAGATTATATACCATTTAAAGTTATCATAAAATATTGGCTATATTCCCTGGGCTGCACAATATGTCCTTGTAGATTTTTTATTTTATACATAGTAGTTTGTGCCTCTTAATTCTCTACCCCTATTTTGTCCTTCTTTCCTTCCTTCTCCCCACCTCCACTAGTTTGTTCTCTATATCTGTGAGTCTGTTTCTGTTGTGTTATATTCATTCAGTTTATTTTTTAGATTCCACAAATAAGTGTTAGCATTCAGTATTTGCTTTCTCTGTCTGACTTATTTTAATAAGAATAATACCCTCTGGGCCCATCCATGTTGTTGCAGATGGTAGGATTTCATTCTTTTTATGGCTGAGTAGTATTCCATTGTGTGTGTGTGTATATGTATATACACATTTATATGTATATATATAAATGAGATATCTTCTGTATCCATTCATCTGTTGATAGACACTTAGCTTGCCTCCATATCTTGGCTATTGTAAATAATGCTGCTGTGAACATTGGGGTGCATGTATCTTTTGAATTAGTTTTTTCATTTTCTTCGGATATATACCCAGGAGTGGAATTGCTGGATCATATAGTAGTTCTATTTTTATTTTTTTGAGGACCCTCCGTACTGTTTTCCATAGTGGCTGCACCAGTTTACATTCCCACCAACGGTGTACAAGGGGTCCCTTTCATCCTCTAAGTGGATGTAATTTCTAAAAACTCCAGGTGGGTCAAGCCCACAGAGGTTCAGTTCATTCTCCAGGGAGATGAGCTGTGAACCTTTAAGTTGCTTCAAGTTCTATACTAGCTAGGCTGGGGGTGGCTGTCCACCAGGGGAGGTCCCATCAGATGAGGACCCGGGAGACTGTGTGAAAGATGCAGAGAGTAGGGGAGAGTCAGTCCAAGGGGGTAGATTTGGATGCTTTCTGGGCAGCAGGGGTGGAAGGCTGGGTGGGGGGCGATCAAGTCACAGATAGAGTGTTTCCCCTGAGCTACCCAATTAGAACCCCCGCTGCATTTCTCCTCCTCTTTCTCTCAGACAGTTGGGGTGACACTGCTCTTTGTACCAGATATTTTCCCTTCAACTTTTCATCCTGAAACATCTGAAAGACGAGTAAAATGACCACCTGTACTCACACACACACACACACCACACACACTTTTCATTTTCTTTTTACTGACAGTTGAAAGGTGTGGATACCATGGCACATCTCCCCACACCCACCACTACTTCAGTATCCATTGCCTAAGAATAAGGACATTCTCCTAAATGACCTCAATATAGTTATCACACTCAATAAATTTAACATCGATACACTAACATCTGAAATATACTCCACATTAAAAATTTCCCAATTATCCCCCCAAGATGTCATTTTAGTTTTTGATTTTTTTCCAGTCCACAGTCCAATCAAGGTTCACAGATTGCATTTGCTCGTCATGTTCCTTTAATCTCTTAATTTAGGGAAGTCCCCTGCTTTTGTTCGTTTTTCATGACAGTAACATTTTTGAAAAGTCCCCCCAGTGTCAAGGGACAGGATGAGAAGGGCCCTCAAGTCTTGTGGCTGTGAGGTCATTGTCTTCCCACCAGGAGGGGAGGGACTGAGGAACAGATTGGGGGACAGAGCATCTTTAAAAACACTCGTGTTTCCCAAACGTTCTTGCTTGGTGACACGCCTGTGGTCAACCTTGTCCTACCCCACCCACTCCCGTGGCACTCCTGTTCATTCAAGGAGTATTTGTGGAGGCTGTCCCAGTTGCCTGGTGCCGTGCTCAGGGTTTGTGATAACTGGGGATAGAAGAGAATTATAGAAGTCTTATTTCTACCATGGAGGATCTTAGGGTCTCATCAGGAAGCTGGGTTTACATGATTTAAGGTGGCGGACCATGAAGACCAAGTACAGAACAGTGACTGCTGTCACTAATACACACACAACAGGAATTCAGAGGAGGGGAGTGCTCAAGACACTCAGGCATGAGATAGGGGCTTCCTTCTAGGAGACCTCTGAGGTACGAGGTCCCTCCCACCTTGGGTTGCTCCTGAGCTCTTAACCCTGAACCACCCCCAGCAGAGCCACCATCCAGTGGCTCCATTCATGTACAACTTCCACCATATAATTAATATTCTTGAGAACCACTGTGTGCCCAGCTCTGGGCTGTGAAAGATCCAGAGAAATCAAAGACATGGTTTCTGAGTTCAAGTTGCTTTAGTCTATTTGGGGAGACAGGGAGAGACACATGGAGAGATGAAGGGTGGGGAGGCAAATAATGAGGGGGAGAGTAACAAAAGGAGGAGCGATCAGGGTGGGCTGGAGGATCAGGGCGGGGGGGGCATGTAGGAGGAGCAAAAACTTTTGCAGGGACTTAGATAGTGGAGCTGGGAATTGGGGGATGGTAGGGAGGTCACAGCAAGGTTGGCCAGGGTATGATGGGCTTAAAAAGACCAGCTGGTAAAATCGGAAACAACCCAGATTGTCCAGCTAACAATGACTGGTTAAATGAATTATGGCATATTCACACAATGGAATAATAATGCAACTCTAAAAATGAATGAGTCAGCCGACTGTGTCCAGTTATCTACAAGATAAAACTGTTAACAAAACCGTGTCTGTGTGTGTTTGTGTGTGTGTGTGCGTGTTACCATTTGGGGCAGGATAAGTGTGATCATATTTGCTTGTATTTGCACAGAGAAACTATGGAAAGATACATAAGAAACTAGTAAAAGTAGTTACTGGGGGGAAGTGCGGGGAACTGGGCAAATGGAGTGGGAGGGAGAATTTTCACTGAACACCTTTTTACAGTTTCTAATTTTCAAACCATGGTAAATATATTTGCTGTTTAAAAATTAAAGAAAAGGGGCTTCCCTGGTGGCGCAGTGGTTGGGAGTCTGCCTGCCGATGCAGGGGACGCGGGTTCGTGCCCCAGTCCAGGGGGATCCCACATGCCGCGGAGCGGCTGGGCCCGTGAGCCATGGCCGCTGGGCCTGTGCGTCCGGAGCCTGTGCTCCGCAGCGGGAGGGGCCACAGCAGTGAGAGGCCCGCGTACCGCAAAAAAAAAAAAATTATAAAAGTAAAAATTAAAGAAAAAAATAACTCAGCAGGAGAGTTTAGTCTAGAAGTGTGGACCACCACGAACCAGCAGCCTCTGCACCATCTGGGATCTTACTAGAAATGTAGGATCTCTGGCTCCATTCCAGACGTTGGGTAATCTCTCTGGGTCTCCGCCTGTTCTTCTGTAAAACAGGCTATTAATTTAAGGCCATTATGAGATTCAGTGATCTGTTGCATGAAGGTACCCAGCAGAGGATCTGTACTTTAACAAGACCCCTAAGTGATTCAAGAGCATGTTAAGGTTTGAGAAGCTCAGGCCTAGAGTCGGTGGTTACCAGACAACGGAGCAGGCAAGGGTGACTGGTGGTAACAGCTGTGTATAAGGATCATCTAGCAGCTGGATGAAGGGCCAGGAGGAGAAAGTGTAGGCTGAGGGGCTAAGAGAGGCTGCGTAATTGATCGGTTAATTGGTTAATCAGTTGGTATTGATTCAAGCAGGAGGGGATGTGGACACCATGCCGGTGGTAGAAACAGAAAGTAAAGTTGTTCGTTTGTGGGACATTTCTTAGGAAGAAAGGAAGGGCTTGGTAAACAGCTTGCATATAGGGAAGTAGAAAAAACGACAACAAGAACTCTGAGCCCGTTTCCTCATCTGTAACATGGGAGTAATAACAGTACCCCCATCTGAGGGTTGTTAAGAAGATGAAGTAAGATAAAGGATGTGAAGTGCCAACACAGGACCTGGCACCCAGGGGCCACTCCTCAAGTGTTTGTTCATTTCTCCTCCTTCTGGTCCCCTTGCTTTTGGGGTTAGTTTTGGTTGGGGATGGAGGAAAGGGGGGAACGAGAGTGACCCACGAACACCAGAAGGGTTTGAAGCTGCTGAGCCTGGACAGCAGGGCTCTCCCTGCCCTTACACCACCCATTTCACCCAGATTCCACTCCCATGTTGGTGCGTGAGGGGTGGGCAGCTTTGGAGGCTGAGTTCTCTGGAGCAGGCGTGGGGCCTGTTTCTCTGTCCAGCTCAGCCCCCCAGACCATTGTAGCCCCGCTCCATCTCATGACAA